AGTTGTATTTCTTTACAAGTAAGTTGTATTCGTTCTTATGTTCTTTGTTTACTATGTTTTATATAATAAATCATCAAGAATACTTAGTTTGAACAGGATGTGGAACTGTAATTATGTCAAAAATCACATGGTCCCAAGTACCATTCTAACGAGGCGGGGAAGAGGAGAAGAGGTGGATTCTACTATGTATAAGCGGGGAAGATGGCTTCGGCGGGTTCTAGAGTTTCATAGAGCAGTTAAGGATTGTGCTTTAATAGCATCATAAAAACTATGATATACCTTTGAATAGTAATTTGATTCTAATATTTCTTAATGATAACAAGGAACAATAAAAATAAAAATAAAAACCGTGTATATATACTAAACAGAAAATGGGTAAAAGGAAAGAAAATGGATGATCTGCCAACTGCAAATAAGGAGTAATATTAGTTGACCAATTCTTTATAATTACTTGTGTCCAAATCTCAACTCACTGAATGAATCTGTTGATATGTTTGTTTTATTCATTTTACACTCACTCCTACTCCTACTCCCGACCTTGTTCCCTCATTACAACTTTCTCCATAACTTCATGTATTTTTTTAACAAAGCATTGGTAGCTAGGTACAACATTCATTCATTGCAACACTCACCATGCCTCAACCCTTTTCTCTTCATCACCTAATGTGCAATTTTTGTATTTGATTTTTCTTACCTTCACATCATTTAAATTGTTTGACTTATTATATAATAGTAGAAAACATACATAGGATCATATCAGACCAAAATGTTTTCATCAGAATACATATATCTTGTTTGACTGTTATTTTGTGTTCTCACAAGTCTCATGAAAACGAGAATCTCACCTGAACCCAACCTATATAAAACATATGTTTATATAGAGGCACCTTCTTTTGTTAACCGCCTAATTACTACAAACTTTGTTGTAATCTTTTGAGAAAATTCTTTGGAATTTAAAGTACGTATTACTATAATCTTCATTGACAACTATTTTTACATAATTCAAATAGAAATTTATAGCCTACCATAAGAATTGATTTACAATCAAAAAATGGAATGATATTTTGAATATGTTGTCAATTCTTCTAAACTTTAAAAAAAACGTGTTCTTTAACAATCTTAGATTGTGTAAATCGATATTAGCAAGTCTACTTGCATTTATACAAGATTTGAGCAAGAATCGAGTCTTCTAGAGCATGTAATTTTTGCTCCTCACATGACATCAAATCTATTACGAAGATCTTCACTTGTGTGTTGAAACTTGTGGTTCGCTGGTCCATGTGTTCATTCCGTTGGAGCCCTTCTAACCGACTTACAAGCACAACTTTAGAAAGCGCGTCTTCCAAAAAGATCTCTTTGTCATGGACGTCTTTATGGAAAATATGATCATGTCAATATTCATTAAGAACTCGTAATATCTTTGTCAATGATCTAGTCTGAATGTTGATCATGTTCCCAAGAGGACTTGGATCTCATGCTTTGAAGATTGATCATATGTCTTCAGAATGTCGATCCTTGTTGATGCCTTGAAGCTTTAACCATTTACCTTTTTGAACCGACTTCAGATTGCAAAATGGCCTTTTGAACTTTATTCAGAAGGGCTTCAAAACCCAAACTTTCGAACACATACATATTAACGAACCAAACCCCATACCTTTTATTTCTTTAAAACTTGGAGTTTCTATCGAATGCTTATGGTGTACAACTTCACGTTTTCTAGGTTTACATGTTTAATTTTTCTAATTTGGAGGGAAAAATTCAAAATCATCAAATTGTTCTTACATGAGGGGCACATGCATGCATTTAGTGGCTATAACTACCATTAGATGAAAGAGCGAAATCTACAACACATGTCGGGTTTGTTGACAAAAGGGTAGGCCGACTTTTCTCAAATACAAAACAAGTGTCGGGTTTGATCACCGGTCCCCCTCTTTCTAGCCTCAGACGTTAAGTGAGCCAAAAAAATGCCCATCACATTGGTGTCCTTGAAGGCGGGTTCCATGTGGGCCCGGTTGAGGTTGTCTGTAGTCAATTTTTTGTCTAAATTATATGGATGAAAACTAGAAAAACCAAGAAAAAGAACATGAGTACAAAAACCCTATGTGAGTGACTATAAACGATTATGCCGTCGAGGTTTTCGGGGTCAAAGTAATGTTACGGTCTCACCTTAACTTAAAAAAGTAGCCGAGAGCTAAAGGAGCTATTTGTTTCAGAGCCGTTTTGGGGGGTGTACTAAACCCAATACGTACCACACCGCTGGGAAGCTCGCCTAAATTTCTAGTCTCTCTCTGACATCAACTCAATGTCGTCCTCACCAAAAACTTGCTTTACTAATCAAGTGAGTTATAATTTAATTATAATAATATAACTCTAATATTCAAAATTCCTATGATACTATTAGGGGTGAACGCGGGTTGGGTTGGGTTGGTCGGTTTACAACAATTTTACAACCCAACCCAATTATGACGGTTTGGAAAATCTGAACCCAACCCAATCCAATCCTTGTGGGTTGAGGCGGGTTGAGTTGAGTTGGCAGGTTAGTAGTTCCATAATTTGACGAACGAAATAATTTATAAAACTTAAGTTTATAGATCATACTATAAAACGTCCTATCTAGAAATGTTATAATAGATTTATAGGACATTTTTGGACGTATCAAAAAGTGTTTTAGAATGATCTTTAAATAAAATGTCGTATTAGTTATTTTATAGAAACATTTTGAGAATTGTCCCGTAAACTCATCTATTTATAGGACACCTATGCTCATATGACACTTTTTCAAGTCATGTTGTATAAAATAACTAATACAACATTTTATTTTAAAAGCATCATATAATTTGTTAAGACGTCCAAAACCATCCTATAAACATATTGGAACTCTTTTAGATAAGATATTTTTCTAATGTAACTCTTTTAGATTGATGAATTCGTCCATCAAATATCTATCAATATCATTCATATTTTCCAACATAACAATTAGTTGTTGCTGCAAACAAAATCAATAATTTTCCTTATTAATTAGATTATTAGTCATCATTTTTTGATCGTGAATCTCTTTTGGTAACCTATATGTTTAGTTAAAATGAAACAAAATATAATATCAATAAAAATTATATAAAATTTATACATTATAAATATATATATATATATACATAATAAACATATATATATATATATATAATTTTATAAAAATTATATATTAGCGGCGGGTTGACGGGTTGGGCGGGTTGAGCCAATTTCAACCCTCCTAATTGGCGGATTAACGGTTTGGCGGGTTAGCGGTTTGGCGGGTGGGCGATTTGGCGGGTAGACGGAGTGGATTTAATTGGGTTGTTAGCGGATTGGGTTGGGCGGGTTTCACAGGTTGACGATTTTTTTACACCCCTAGATGCTATGATTTAGGATGTTCAAATTCTAATATTAATATTTGAATATGTTCATATCATTCTATTATCATCGTCTAAACGTTTTTTATTCAAAATAGTTTTTTTTTTTTGAAAAACAAAACTCAATTCATGTATATCTATATCTATATTACTTTATAAAGTATATTTGTTAAGGTTTTAAAAACAACTCATAATACATTGAGTACTCCTCTTTTATGCATTTGATCTTAAATACAACATATAAAGCATAAGAACAAACTGCATGAAAAAGTAACGTACTTTGCCTCGATTTCTATTTTGGGTAGCATACTTTCAAAACTTTCGGTTTTGTACCTAAGATGTAAAATTTCAAACATTTAAGTACCTAGGTAACCGGTTCAAGCATTAACCGTTTACCATGTTGATATGACGAGTGACGTGATATCTAACTCAGTATTATTTGCTTAAGTGACTAGTGACATGGATTTTTTAATCTAAAATTAGTTTTTATATTATTGTTATTATATATTATCATATATATATATATATATATATATACACATACATAGAGGCGGGATCCGTTGAAAACTGCCTAATTTTTAGAAACCGTGTAAACCGATTTCGACCAATATGAATTTTTTTAATTAAATTAAATTTACATTGTTTTTGATTAAATATGGAAATTATTAAGAGATCTTAATTAAGAAAACGTAATAAAGGAATGTTAGAAATGGTAATATTTAAATGTTTATTTAATTTAGTATTTTAATAATTAAATATATTTATTTGTTGTTATAGGTTTATACGTAGTAAGAATATGAAGATCAAAAACTTATATTCATTGATCCACAAAATCAGTAACAGATCCTAACAGAGATTCATGAACCGGTAAAAATATAAATATTAATGACACAGATTCATGTTTAGATAGCAAATTGTTTTTTGGATAATCTTGTTTGCTTAGCAATTATTATTGATGAAATTGTTTCATTTTTTTAAATTTTTTTTGGATGATTTTGTTCACTTAATGGTTAACAAAGCCTGTAATGGTAAATGCATTGACGCTATGAAAAGTGTTCGGATTGCAAAAACTTAGTCGATGAAATAGGTGCATAACGAAAGTGAAAACATTTCATAATTGTTAAAAAAATGTTGTGTAATTAGCGAACAGTAAAACCATTTGATAATTAGATTGTAACGGATTCATCTACCAATAACATGAAAATGACAAATGTCTCATCTAGCATTACGTTAATTTGTGTATTGATGAAACTATGAAACGTGTTCAGATTACAAAAACTTTGTCGATGAAATGGTTGCATAACGACAGAGAAATCATTTCATAATTGTTAAGAACATGTTTAATTAGCAAACAGTGACCATTTCATAATTAGATTGAAACGGATCCATCTACCGAAAACTTGAAAATGACAAATGTCTCATCTAGCATTACGTTGATTTGTGTATTGATGAAACTRTGAAACCATTTCGTTCATGAAATGTAGTAGTAAATTTTTTATTATTATTATTCAAAAGGTTTCATTATGTTAAATTGATTATAGTGTGTTTTATTTTTATTGTTGATCTATTTTAATGATGGATACTATATTTTTTATAATATTTGAACATAAAATTAATATATTATTTTAAAAATGATTTTGTTTCATTAGTATTATGATATACATGATATGGTTGCCATTAAATAAAAAGACAATTAAAACGTTGATGTACTTCAGACAATGATTCATTCTTTCCACAGAGAAAGCTTTCATATTGTTTTACTAGATTAATCTTCCTCGATTCTTATACTTCAGTAGTACCTTCATATTGAACACCACATGGATTTCGAGGTTTTGAGCTTCATCATAGAATGATATACCTTATCAGGAAGAGACATGGCTATTATAGACCTCGTACGAGTATCTAAAGCCATCTTCGTCTTGTCTTAATCACTTCATTGATGAGGGAGATTAGGAATCTGTCATTCAGGAATCGCAACAGTCGTAGCAGTTGCAGGAACTGCTGGAGATATAACATATGGAACATAAGGTCCATTTTCTATATAGTATGAAATTTCAGGATCCACACCTTCCAAGAAGAGAGACACCCGATTCCTCTAGTGACTAAAGTTGTCTCTAATGAAACGGGGAGGTTTGGCAAGAGAGCCATTATCGTGAAAATGAGTGATAGTGTTTTGTAAAGCCATTTGTAAAGGAATAAATTATCTAGAGAAGAAAAGATAATAAAATGCCAATAAAACAACACAAGAAGCAAACGCCTCTCTGATACCACTTGTTAGTCCCAGCTAGATTTACAACAGTTATAGGATCAATTTGTAAAGGGGGGGGGGGATAAATACAAACACAGAAACTCACTTTCACTTTTAAAAATTGTAAATTGATAAAGATGGAACAATACAAATTTACAGATTGTTTGCGGAAAATATAAGGTAAAAAACCTATCTAAATAATCTAAGGATACACACTATTACACTTAGCAAAGAGAAAAGATTTGTTGTAAGAATTAAAGACTTACGAAAGTGTTCTTCACTTGTTCAAAGTGGTTCTTTCTCTTTTAGAGAGAGTAGTGAGAAAAGTAACTTCTTGGGTAAGTTTCTTAGAGAGGAAGAATGATAAATGAGTAAAGAGCACTCGTCTATTTATACCCATTGCATTAATTGCAATTTAGAAGGTACACAACACGTGTCAAGCTTTTGGAGGAAAGTTTGTCCTTTGTTACAGTGAACAATCTTTTTGGCTTTTCATGAGCAGATATCTTTTCATAGAGTTGGTGAGCACTATAGATTCAACTTGGTGGCATCGTACAATACTATACTCTGGAAAAGGTATGGGTTTGTTCTTGGTGTGTGCAAGGACAAGACAAAACAATCGTGCATGATAAGCTTTATTTGACCGTCAAATGCGGGGACGACGCTGGAGGTCTCTTCAGCATTTGCTAAAACTTGTGCAGTCTTCACACATATGTAGACGAGCTTGTAATCACTGAATGACGCTTCATATCACGAATGCACTAGTCTCTAGTCTTCCAATTCTGTCTTCGACATTGCTGAAGGTTCTTTGGTGTGAGTTTTGTCTTCTTGAAGTATAACAGTCACTGGAGAGTTACAATACATATTCAGCAATCACTAAACAGACTCAGTGATGATCGCTGAAACTGAATATACAGAAACACTATACTTCGATAGGTAAAAGGGATTATCATCAAATCAATGAGAGATGATCAACATAATTGATTGTTCAGCTAGGGTTAGATCGATTCCTTTATTTGGGTGTGATAATCATGTGATCATGCAACAAGGTATCAACTACGAACCGAGTTTCACATGAGACGGTTCATATTTAGGTTCAACTACATTGGGTGTGATAATCATGTGATAATGCAACAATGAATCAACTAGGAATCAATTATCACAAAAATACAAATCAGATTTGGTTTCGACTACATTGGGATGTGATAATCGTGTGATAATCATACCTAATTGAATTGATCAGAGTGCGGTCAAACTAAAAATTGTATATCCATTTAGCGATTATCACATGTTCATCACGATTAAAGTATGATAATCGATTATTTTGGCTAGTTTAGTTTAGTGGTGATTACATGTTTAGGACAGTTAACATATCGAACTAAGGATCCAAGGTTGAATGTGATCATACGATTATCACATGATTAACACATCTGATCACATGATTATCACTATGTGATCAACACGTTCAGTTGAACATGATCAATCCCAAGCAAAAAAGGATGGGGTAATTCTAATTAATTAAAATAATATAAAAAATACCTCATTACATTAGTGTTCTTATTGACTTATTTGTATTTAATATAATTTAAATTATTGATTAAAAAAGTTTGAGGTTAGTAGGTTGTTCTCGCATTCTCGTAAATCACAAGTGTTCTCGTTTGAACATCCACCTATATATATATATATATATATATATATATATAATGGAGCGATCAAATGAAAACCACCCTCATTTGTAAAAACCGTACAAACCATCCTCATACGTCGATTTCATTGTTTAATCTTATGAAATTTTTTCATGAAATTGTTTAATCTTATGAAATATATAATACTTTTTTTGACGAATTTGTTTCATATATGATTATGAAATTGTTTCATATAATATTTTGACGAATTTGTTTCATATATGGTTATGAAATTGTTTCATATAATATTTAATGAAACCATTTCATGTATTTCTCTAAAATTAAAATAATGAAGATGATAATATCCATGATTAATACCCTCCATAATAAAAATGGTTAATCAATCTCTCATAATACTGAGTTGGATGCCATATAATCACCACATTAGCAAATACTACTGAGTTGGATGCCACTTCTCTCGCCACATCAGCATGGTAATCGGTTACTGAGGTAAAAATGTTTGAAATTTTACATCCTAAATATCAAAACGAAAGTTGTATAAATACGTTCAAATATGAGATGACTCATATCAACCTATATTGTTGCTTGACATTCTTACTCAAGACTTGGTGCTTCATAGTTGTGTGTTCATCTATTGGAAAAATTGTTACAAAAGTTGCTATTTGGTATGTTTATTATGCTAAATATTTGTGGTAGAACAACTTGAGAGAAAGTTGGTTTGATGTATCTCATTCTCATCTAAACTTTGCTGCAAAATACAAGTTGAAAGTTGGTGTTTGGTGTTTGTTTTTTTAGTAACCAAACACTTATTTCACATTAATTTTGATACATGTATAATGGCACTGTCTGTAATACAAATTAATGAAATTATTATATTTTGCACGATAAAATCCCATCGATTTTATTTTCAACATCTGTCACATACAAGTTATGATAATTCTGATTTCGATATTTTATCTCGATAAATGAAAGTCATTCCGATAGACGAAGAAGTATATCCCCCATCAATAACAAGATTATGCCCCGTTATAAATCCTGCTTTATCACTAGCCAAAAACAACACCGCCTCTGCAACATCTTCCACACTTCCGCATCTCCCTTTCAATAAACTCGCATTCTCGCTTACTTTCTGTTGCACTTCCTCGACCGTCACGTCATTTTTGAATCCACGATATGCGTCGACAAGCATCTCTGACAACACGCCATGCGGTAACACGCAGTTCACACGGATCCCGTAGATGCCCAATTCGCATGCCGAGCTTCTTGAGACTCCAAGAATGGCTTCTTTCGAGAGTGTGTAGGCATGTGATCCAAGGCCTCCCATGATCGCGGCTGTGCTTGATGAGCTTATGATCGAACCACCATTTCCGGCCAAGATCATTGCACGTGCCGCATGCTTTATGCCGTGTACGACACCGTTCACGTTGACACCGATCAATTTTGCGACGTTTTTCATTTCGACACTACATATGCTTCCTCCAACATCTGCAAGGAAAGAACCAAGAACGATGAGTTGGTTGGGTTCTTGATCAATCTTGAATCCCACATATGTGGATTTTAATAACATGGTATTAATGCTTAATAATATAGTAAAGATAAGTCTAGAAAATGGTAGATATGTACCACCAATTCCGGCATTATTGAACAAAATATCGATTTTCCCTTTCCAAGTTACAGCTAGTTGAATGGCAGCTTCTACGTCAGATTCTACCGAGACATCACAATGTACATAACGACCATTGATTGAATTAGCCAGATTTGTTCCCAAGTCATCCAAAACATCAGCAATGACGACATGTGCCCCATTCTCAGCCATTAACTTCGCAGTGGCACCCCCGATTCCTCTTGCTCCACCCGTAACCACTGCAACTTTATTTATTAACCTGTTTGTCGTCACACCAAGATAAATATTGTTTTCAATCAACATGACGGTCGTTTTTTTAATATTCGGACACTTAAAAATTCCTTAAAATATGTCGTCTCACTCTATTTTATAGGTATATAACAACTTTCAAATAGAGACAACCAGAAGATTGGAAAGATGGAACCACTAATAAAAACAAACATATACCCTCTAAATATAACCTTCATCTTTTTGTATAATTTATTTGTAATTTTGGTTATATTTTATCTATTTTTAATTAAAAATGCGAAGTATTATTTTTTTATTCTAAAAATTATATCAATCAAATATATTAATTGAGGTATAGTTATGTAATATATTTTATTGGTATTGTAATATAAATTTATATTTTTTATTTTTTAATACTTGTTTATATATTAATGTTAAATTCATAATTTAATAAATAAAAAAATTATGACAATATCAATTAATGGTCAAACTATTGTATTTGGTTATAACCAAAATTCCATTTAATAAATTTTTTATAGACATACTTCATAAAACATTAAAAAAAAAGCATAAATCAATTTCTTTTTAGGAAATTATAGTCTATAATTTTTTATATATTCATTGCCAAATCACAAAAAGAACTGATGTGATATTAATAATTAATAAAAATTAATTTTTTATTAAGAAATCGTACTTAGAGTCACTATAATTTCTAATTAAGAAAATCCTATGTGTCACTCAAGAAATCACGTAAGAAATTACAGTGGTAGATGGTCGACTTTTTTATAGGACTTAGATCCAACAATTGAGCGTCCTATTTAAAGTGTTACAATAAATTTATAGAACAATTTTAGACGTTTTAACATGTTATTTTAGTACAATTCTGAAATAAAACGTCTTACTAATTTTTTACATCACATTATTTGAAAAAATGTCATATAAACACAAGTGTTCTATAAAAAGATGTAAGAAGTGTCCTGTAAAAAGGTTAATACGGTAGTTTGTTTTAAAAACTTGTTAAAACGAGAAAAAAAAACGTTCTATAAACTTATTACAATACTTTTATATGGGACTTAAAAATATTTTGTTCTATGAACTTAAGTTCTATAAAAATAGACTATTAAGACATTTACTTAACTTTTAATGCTCTATAAACTTAATTATATTCTAACGATAATAAATGTCTTATGCTAAAGTAGTTATTAGGGGTTGTGTGGCAATTGTTGAATGGTTCGGTGCAGAATGATTAAAAGGCTCTCATGATATAGTGCAAAATGAAATATAATTGTTTGGTAATTGTGTAGAACGAAATTAGGGCTCTTGATGGTTAAGGGAGATCCACGATACAAAATCAGTCAAAAGGTTTTAGAACCATTAAAAGGCAGATTTTTTTGTGCCAAACAAGATTCACCTCTTAATGATTTAGAGGTTGTCTTTTAATGGAACTATTAAGAAGTAATTAAACAACCCATAAGAAGTATATTATACTTAATTAAAAGTTGATCCAACCTTTTTGTTGCATGCTTGTGGGCATCACCATCTTCATGAATATGATCCATGGTTTTGAGGCAATTGTGGCTTATTGAAGGTCCATGACATTGAATTTATAGAAAAGTATGGAGATGGGTGGGTTCCCTTTGTATGAATCTATAAATCTATTTGCATGCACTCTCTATTTTCTTCAACCACTCTTCACCTATGATGTTGCTAATATGCATGCATTTCACATTTTTATGGACACAAATTTGTTATATTATAAAATATTTAGATATTTTTTTAATAACTTGTTAAGATTAGAGCTTTTTCGATAAATTCAATTTTATAAGTAATTATTGCATACATATAATTTCTTATTACTTTTTAAACTGCCTAAAATTAACTATAAATATAGATAATCATTGAGCTGCTAATACCATATAATACTCAGAAAAAGCTTCTTCAATAAAACTAGAGTACATTCCATTTTTGGATTATGTGGTTTGACCGAAAATCACCCATGTGGTTCAATAAGTAGAAAAATAGTCGCTAGATTATGCATTTGGCTCTGAAATAAGTCCTTTTTATCCTAATACTACTAACTGAAAATGCGTTAAGAGAGGTGTTTTCGTCATTTCAAAATTTTTATAAATAAAATTGAATGTATGAGTTTTTAATACTTATGTACAAATGTGTTTGCTATTACATTATTATGATATTGTTTATTATTATATATATAAACACAATTTTACATAAGTTTTAAAACTTGTACACCCAATCTTTTTAATAAAAATACAAAAAAAATGCCCTTTATTTAACAGACTCTCAATTAGTGATGTTAGAACAAAATACTCGTTTTAGAGTCAAATCAAATTTTTTTGCCCTGTGGTTTATACAAAACTACAAACAACGTCCATGTGTTTCAATAAGTATTGAAATGGTCACTACAATTTGCATTTTGCTTTGAAAGTGGTACCTTAGCCTTACAACATTACAAAATGTCAGCTAAGTGAGGGGTATTTTGTCAATTTAACTTTTTTTGATCTTTTTCTTGGTTTATATTTTACATATTAATACACCCTACACCATACCACCCCTCCCCTCCTCTACCCTCGTCGAGTCTAATTTTGTTGGCCTTTATTCTGTTTCTAGCATCATCCCTAAACATTCCTCGTCCCAAACACACCACCCTTACCATTCCTCAATACCCTCAAACACAATTACCTTAACATTGTTCTCACCCTGAAATACCACTACCCTCACCATTCCCCACTACTATTGATCGAAGATGGAAGTGGGTCTTGGGGATGGAGGTGTGTCTCAAAGTTGGTCGGATATGGAGGTGGTTGCCGGAGTACGTGGATCTCAATATTGGGCCATGATGATGAAGATGGCCATAGCTGGATGAGGCCACGAAAGCCAAAGGCAGGGCCGGCCCTGGCCACGTGCAGCCGCACAGGGCATCAAAGCCTAAAGGGGCATCAAGTTGTCATCTATTACTAGTTTTGGGTTTAATAATTTGTAAATTAGACAACGAAGCGTTAACTATAAAAACAAGCCCAAAGCCTAGTAGTGATGAATACTGAATGCATATCGTGAAACGGTTAACACCACCATTCCAACAACTCAATCTAATTTCAATTGTTCTTCAAAGTTCGACTATTTCGTTTTTCAAGGCATGGAGTTCTCTTTCCAGCTGATTAACGGTCATGAAATTAGATTCAAGAAATCAAAGATGGAAATCTCGAATGAGTGATTTCTATTGTTGATTGAACTTACCGAGTTGTTGTCTGAGTCATATTATGATTTATGAATCTTAAATCTTTTTGCAAAAAAAAATCTAAATTTTTAACTGATTATTATAAAGTTGGGTCATGTGGTCGTGTGAGTTACTTACATACTAAGCTAAGGGGATTTTGTCATTTTGATAATGAGTCTTCCTCTTGCATATTGAAATATCTTAGAATTGAAATTTTAAATGCATATGAGCACATTATTGTATCAACATAGTTGGAACACACTGCACAATATTAACAACATATTATGATATTGTCTTAATTATTGCAGTGCACAGTAACATAGATTACGAATTTACAATTTATTATTGTCCTTTTGACTTTTGTTTACTTTGAGGTTTGACATCACCGCATTAGATTTAGGAGTCGTTTGATTGGTCTTTTTATTAAAGTTGTCTGTATGAATTAATCTGTTTGTATAAGTTGGAAAACTTTTTGTTTATGAGAGTTTTTTCGCAGATGTAAGGAGCGTTTTTTTAGTTGGAAGGGACATGTTTTGAAAAAAAAAACTTGGATTTCTATATAAAGCTCCCTCTAGAAGCTTATTGGATAAGTCACTTTCTATATCATTAAGCCACTACGAAACAGTCATGCATAGTTGAGCGAATAAGCTGTTAGTTCCATTGAGCTTATTAAGCTGTTAACAGATAGATGTACCGGGGAATTAGCCATGTCATTTGAAGGGGTGAGGGTTCAATATGAAATTAAAAAGGAGGGGCTTTTTCTTATAGTATGATATATAGTATATTTTGTGAATTTTTAAAGGAAAATGGGTATAAGGACAATATGACCTCACAACTAACGACTCTTTGACAAATGGTGTTAGGGCAAGGGACCACTTCCAAAGCAAAATACAAACTCTAGTGACCATTTATGTACTTATTGAAGCACAAGGACGTTTTCATACCAAAATTGTACTTTACTCTTATAGCTATTGAATCATTGGAGAGATTCTCAAATATTTTCTCTATACCAATGCTGAACTTGGTGTTTAAGCAGAACAATTTAATGGCTTGTCTTGAGCTAAAGAATCCAGATTCCCCCGATCTTTTATTTGTCGAGTTTCTAAAGAGGCGCCCTTTGGACCATGATATGACTGTTGATGATCAACAACTATGAATCGATTAAGCAAGGGTCTATATTTTGTAGACTATAGTTTTGGACTATGACGTTTCTATCCATGATCCACTAGAACATATTGGGTACCAAAAATTTGGGAGAGCTATTTACAAAATTATAGGGTCAACAAGACCCAAATGGTCTTTCTTATTTGATGCCCTGATTCGGTGTTTATCAGGTGGATGGGATCATGCTATTACGCTATCTTTAATTTATTATGGACTTATTTATGCTCGAAGAATTGACTGTCCACCCTAATATTTGAAGATATAGTCAACAACCTTGTTGGGAGGAAGAACTCAAAAATAGTGGTCTAGACTAGATTTATTAGTCCATTCTTGAAGGTTATGCTTATAGATGAATATCTAGCTAATTGGACTCCTACAATAAAGACCAAGATTAGCAAAAGTCTTCAACATATTGATGGACGTACCTAAGGACCCTATGTCAGAAGGTATGTAAATCTGATTCCTAATCCTTCTATTAAACTTATTATTCATTCGACACATGCATTTGGTAGTGATGAGGAAGAAAAGATGATAGAACCACCCTCGTAGTCCGTCTCCAAATAGGTTCCCACACCTTCATATTTCTCTTCTCAATAGTTGGAAGTTGTTGAACTTTGTCCAAGACCCGAAACACTAGTTGATAAACTTGATACCCATTCACTGCCCTCTCAAGTGG